ACTAACTACTACTACTACTACTACTACTACTACTACTACTACTACTACTACTACTACTACTACTACTACTACTACTACTACTACTACTACTACTACTACTACTACTACTACTACTACTACTACTACTACTACTACTACTACTACTACTACTACTACTACTACTACTACTACTACTACTACTACTACTACTACTACTACTACTACTACTACTACTACTACCTACTACCTACTACCTACTACCTACTACCTACTACCTACTACCTACTACCTACTACCTACTACCTACTACCTACTACCTACTACTACTACTACCTACTACCTACTACCTACTACCTACTACCTACTACCTACTACCACTACTACTACTACTACTACTACTACTACTACTACTACTACTACTACTACTACTACTACTACTATTATTACTACTACCGCTACTGCTACTGCTACGACTACGACGATGGGGAGAAGGAGGAGGACAGCGTTTACCGCTCCTACTCATGTTGCTTTCCTAGAGGCTCCAACTCCTAGGTAGGGTCGCATTGGGATAATTTTGAATATTCCTCCTGTAGGGGGACAGGCCCGAGTTAAAAACTAATGCTCCTGGCATTTGAGCCTCCGTGGGTCCGACCGGCTGGTTGCCTTGGCCGCTGCAGGCCTGACAAGTGTCCCCGCTGCAGGCAAGGTCGTCAACCGGCCGCCATCGCTCCACGGACGACCATGTTCCACCTTGTGAGCATTTTCTATTATGCGGCGTTTCGACATTGGGGCGGAAAGGCGGGGGGACGGGGGGGTTTGGCTCTGGACCTCTACGTAGTGCGACCGTTTGTAATAGTGCGGCCTCTGGGGGAGCCTCCTCCTGCCAGAAACAGGCGCCAAAAAACAGCCGAGATCTACTCCAGGGGGGGGGTGGGAGGGGGGGTTTTGGGGGCCTGCGCCGATCGGCAAAACAATCAATAAAAATGCGATCACCTTGCAGCGCCATCGGACAAGAAAGAACAACAGGAATCGGGGGCGGCAAAGAGGGGGGCGTCCAAGAGGGGGGGCGCAAATCATGGCCAGCGCCATGTACGCGGCCCAGGGCGGGGGCCAGGGACCCCGGGCGACCTGGGCAGGCCGGCCGTGTCCAGCGGCATTTTGGCCCTGCCTGATCGCGCCTGTGCCCTGTCTAGCCATGTCAGGGGGAGGAGGAAGAGGAGGAGGAGGAAGAGGAGGAGGAGGAGGAAGGAGGAGGAGGAGGAGGGGGAGGAGGAGGAGGGGGAGGAGGAGGAGGAGGAGGAGGAGACCCCTCGGCATGCCGCCCGCTGGGTCGGAGCAAGGGGGGCTTGTCTAATCACTCATCCTTGGCCCAGCGGGCCTGTCTAACCACTTCTCCTGCGCCGAGGGAGATTGTCTAATCACCTCTGGGCCTTGTCTGATCGTTGCTTATATTCGTTGATTAATCGTGGTTTCATCGCCCTCCCCCGAGAGGGGTTCGTGCACGGGCAGTTCCTTAGAGGCCTCCTAGATGGGGTCCGAGTAGATGGGGTCGAAGGATTGCGCCGCATCGCCAATGCATCGCCGATGTATCGGCGATGCATCGGCGATGCATCAGCGACGTCGGCGATGCATCGGCAACGTCGTGGTGGGGAAACACGGTCTCCACATCGAACCGCATCGTCGATGCATCGACGATGAGGCGCGATCCTCCGACCCGATTTACCCCGACACGATCTAGGAGGCCTAGATTCCTTCTTTTCCAAACAGATCCCGGCCCCGAGCGGATGGCCCTGATCAGCTCTCGGGCCCAACCCCAGGCCCTAAATACTTCTCCTCCCGCCCCCTGGCCCCCCTGACTACCTTCCCACAGGAGGAGGAGGGAGGAGAGCGAGGGCGGGGAAGAGAGAGGGATGAGGACGGAGGGATGGATAAGATGCGGAAGGAGGAACCAGAGGAGCGAGAGAGGAAGTGAAGGAGGGACGCGGGGGGAGCTACGGGAAAAGGGAAGAGGAACGAGGCAGGACAGATGGAGGAGAGAGGACGGAGAAAAGGGAATGCGTAAGGAGGATGCCAAACATAAGACCGAAGATCGAAGTGTTGGGCGTACTGGCCATGTTTGGACCTCCCAAAGGCTTGCGAAGGAGTCTGGATGCTTCCGCGGACCTCCAGACACCTGATTAAGGTTTGGCTGTCGGCCCCCCGGCCTGATTGTGCTTTGGCCCTCAGGCCCACAAGTTGACTAGGGCCGTTCCCGAAGCCATGCCATACACCACCACTAGCCCTGGCCAGGCCTATCATGGGCCCTGGACTGGTGTACGGGCCGGAAGTGCCAGGCCAGGGCTGGCGGTGGTGCACAGTAGGCGTCCCTCCGAGGCCCGACGCACACGGCACCGTCGGGCAGGAAGTCGGGAAGGCCGATGGAGTTCTGTTAGAAAGGGCACGACCTACCTTTGTAGACAAAGCCCGCGCCTTCTGAAAAGCAGCTTCCTCCTAAGAAGCCTTCTCCCCTCCCCCTATCCCC